AAGCCATTGTTAGTCTAAAAACCTATTCCCCCTCTGGCTGTAAACAGACGGCAAAGTTCAGTGAGATCATAAAATCTCCACTTTCCTTCACAGTCTAGTTCATAGTTGGATCTGCTGTTTATGAATTGGAGCTAGAACAAAATAAAAAGGGGAACTGCAGCACAGAAGTCCAATATATTTACTGCACTGTACAACACACTGATCCAAACTAAATCAACACATTTTCAGGGCAATATCCCCCTAAAGCCATTTTGATCATCTACCTGGGCCTCTATAAGCCAGTGCTGATGTCATTTGCATTTATATAGTTCCATTCTGTTGGTTATTAACACTGTATAAGGGGAATTCACTCTATAATCACCGCAGTGACATATTAGAACAGGCACTTTCATACCATAGAGACCAATATGAAAGGCTGGCTGAGGATTACCTTTGGCTTCTTCTGAAAATACACAATCAGCAAGGCTCACAGCAGTGAACTAGAGAGAAAACTGCACGTGTGCGATCAGAGGGTCTAAACTGTCGTCTCAGATTCATTTCATTGTGAAAAAGTGTCTATTAGGACTGCGGCTAATGGTTATTTCCATGAATGAGCAGTTTACCAAAGCCGCGTCAATGTCGTAAAATCTTTTGCCTGAGTCCAAATCCAAAGATATTTAACTGACAATGATATGACAAAGAAAAACGGCCAATATTTGTCTATGAAAAATTATTTGATTATTACAAGAGTTGCTCATTCATTTATCATTGATCGATTGATTGGCTAATTGTTTCTGCTCAAATCTTCATTATTCATAAATATTCAGATATCTTCAGATTCTTTACATTTTTAGATTTTTGCTGCATAAAATGTTAAAAAATTAAGAAAGACATATTATCAGTGTACAATTGTGTCGGTTTAGAGTCTTAGATAAGGGTTATTCCACACCTATCTTTCCACTTCTACAGTATTTCATCTATTTAAAAGTGCATCACATGACCCTTTTTACCTCGCGTCTTCTACGGATGCAAAGTGTCTCCTAGGATTGCAGACGGCTCGCAGCCAGACGTGATAAACAATACGGAGGCTGATTGAGTGCAAAGTGTGCAGCCATAGACAGTGAGGCAGCTGAACTGCAGCATGTACTCTATTTTAGAATTAGACCCTTTTGTTCCCCCCACAACCCGTCTCTCTCTGGTTCCTCTGCTCGAAAAAGTGCAGTCATCTACTTACACAGATGACTACACAAACATACACACAGCTACTGTATGCGTGCCGGCCCACATGCCCCTTCCAAACAACACACACACACACACACACACACACACACACACACACACACACACACATCTGAAGAGAATGAAAAATGCATGCTGTAAACTTTCAGCACGGTCTCTTAGCCTCATTCCTCAGCATTCTCCTCGCTCCTCATCCCACATGCACAACTTCCCCGTTATCTCGCACACACGCACTTCCTCCTCCCTCAACTCCATCCTGCTCATAACGCAGGGCTGCCCTGTTACCCTTGTCCTGCTTTATGGCCCTGACACAGCTGGTGGTGGGTGCTCTAACAAGGCCACAGAAGAAAAGATTCAAACTCCTCCACACATGACGCGGTGAATAGAAACAGAGCCGGGCTTTATTGGGCTGCAGGAGCTCTCATAGTCTCAGACAATACAGCTCATTTGTCAAGGTGACCCAAACAGTTCTCCTCCTTCACCGTGTTTGTACATGCCAGCGTTAGATTACAGAGGATGACACTCATGAATACAAGACCCACAGAGATCCGTTCATCTGCTTGGACGTGAGGCGATCACTCATTTCATCACCATTTGGTCACTCTCTGTCATCTCTCATTTTTTATCAACAGGACCAAGGCAAAGTTAGTTTCACAAACATGAGGTGGTGTGCTGTAAAGACAGAATCGTCTGTGAAGCAGCCAGCGTTCAGTGATAACCCAGATTCTATAAGCAACACCATCTATATTTAATGTCATGCCCAGGTGACGGCTCTGGGGGTGGCTCAATACAAAGTCTGATTTTGGCAGATATTCAACAACATGTTGTTTGTTCAGCAAGAGACTGTGATTTACATAATGGATTTCACAAACACCTGTTCAAGTGTTCAGAGCCGCTTCCACAATTTCATCATTCAACAGACTGCATCCTCCCACCCTTTAATTTCTATTACTTATTTGCATCTGTAAAGGGAGGAGTGTGTGCATGTGTGCATGTGTTTGTGTGTGTGTGTGTGTGGGTGGGTGCGTGTAATCCAGGTATTACTCACATTGTGAGGACCGTAATATGTTTATGTATTATATTGTGGGGACTGGGGTTTATGGGGGACTTAAAGCAAGTGTCCACAATGTCAATCATTCGATTTTAAGGTGAGACATGTTTTAAGGTTAGGTTAAGGTTAAGTTTAAGTTTAGGTCAGGTTTATGTTAAGGGCAGGGCAAGGTTAGGGTTAGGCAAGTTGTAACTATGGTTAAGGTTGAAGTCATAGAGACATGAATGCAGATATGACAAAAAAAAAATAATTTGTGTGTGTGTGTGAAACAAAGCAAAGTTCTATGAGACATAACATCACTTGAGATGTAAAGGACACACAGACAAGGTTACTTGGTGACTTGGTGATTTATGCATGTCTCTACATGGCTCTTAAATATAGACCAATATTAAAAGCTCTGACCTGGTTAATAATTAAAGATATCCCAAACGATGTGTGTGAGGCTGTGTGGTCATGCGAGGAGGAAGGCACTGATTGGTCCACGGGAAATACTTATTACTTACACTTAATGCATGTGCGTATGATTAGATATTGCGTGAATGGGCAGAGTTCGGAAAAGCGACTCTGAAATACCTTCAGATTGACCTGCGATGGTTTTGCAAAAGTGCGTTGACGGAGCCAAGGAACTGAGACAGTTGGAATCCAGCAGCTGAGTGGTCACAGGAGCTCCCCACCACCCGGTGACATGAGATGTATGACACACTGACCAAATGATTTGCTTTATAAAACATGCATCATTCCCATGCTCTCACTCTTACCTTTTTGTGACAAGGCGAGGTGCGTCCTGATGGTGCAATCCTCTGGAATGCGAGAGAAGGCGCCTCGGTGCAGGTGCTCTCCAGAAAGAAAAGAGGCTCCCGGAGGATGCGGGGACGACAAACGACGAGAACAGGGGTGAAACAGCACTTTTGCAAAGGGGGAAGAAGAAAAGGAGACCGGCCCGAGTGTGTGTGCGCGCACGCAAGCGCAACCGCTTCGCGTCCTGGAGTTTACGCGCTCCTTCTCCTGCGTTATCCCCCGCTCACTGAGCAGCAGCAGCCTCTATGCGCCGTTCATCCTCACACACTGGCAGACGCACACACACTCACATCCACACGTACACACACGCGTGCACCCACCACACAGCAAGGTGCTCCCTCCGCCCCCCCAGCAACAGCAGAAGCAAAATCAGTTTGAACAAAGAGGCAAGCGGTGACAGGCAGACGGTTCCAGCGCCCCCATTCAAAGAGAGGGGGGACGAGGGTGGTGGTGGTGGTGGTGTGAGAGGGAGGGGGAGGGTTGGGGTGAAGGAGGGGGGGGGTACTTTATATGTGACCATAATCCGATTCCTACATAAACCTCAAAGGTTGATCCGGTGTCTGTGAATTAAATTAGAATTTACATGAGCTTATATATATAATGAAAGTCTGACCATCAGCTAAAACCTGTCACACATACACACACAAATAATGAACTCTATCTATCTATCTATCTATCTATCTATCTATCTATCTGTCTATCTATCTGTCTATCTATCTGTCTATCTATCTGTCTATCTATCTATCTATCTATCTATCTGGTGTTTCTGATGGCAGATCTGACCAGAGGTGTCTGACCTGCAGGTTCATCCACACTGAATCCCCTCAATGATAAAGTGAAGAAGAACAACAGACTGGTCTTTGTTATTCATCACATTGTGGGTCTGTGGCCTGTTGCTCAAGATGGTTTTGAATTATGCACCCTAACCCTAACCCTTTCTAATGGAGGCAGCAATTGGTTTTGGAATCTTAATAGAGTCGCTAATCATGGCAATCATGAATCTTAAATACAGTCTTTATATAGAGAAAGAGCCTGTGGTTACCTTTTTGAATCAAGTCTCAGGTTTATTCAGAGAATTGAAGTGTTTTGGAGGATAAAAGTGAAATGTTTCTCTTAAACTTTAGATCTGTCTGTGTGGATTGACTGAATGGTGAATCTTTGGGTTTGAGCCTTTTGCAACTGTCAATGGTGAGTGACAAATGTCATGTCTCTAAATGGAATATATTGGTCAAATCTCCCAGACCTTGCAATCCTTAGTATGTAGAACTAAAATGTTTTTATAATCATGAAAGATAAATGATCAGAACAGAAGAGTTGGCATGACTGAAGGTGAGGTTCGCCCAAGCGGTTATGGCACAAACAAAAGCCCAGTTATTCAGTCCAAGTCTATTTATTTTTGGTTGCAACTTAACTCACCGTGCAGCAATATGTACAGTGCAGGCCTGACTGACAAAAATAAAGACAGAAGGTTTAAAAAAAAAATAAAATAAAATTATACTGGTCACAAAACTACAAAAGTAAACAAAAGTCAAACTTGTGAAACACACAAGAAAAACTCAGCTCTGCATTATAGGCAATGCTCCTTTAATAGTTGGGCCCTTGCAGTTTCCCTGGCCTGACTCTATTCAAGGTAAGATCACTGCTCCTCCTCTGGACCTCCAGCCTGCTCCTTTATACTGTCTGGGTCCTACCAAGAACAAGGATTGATAATTAATCATCAATTTTCAATCAGGGAGATTACACTTAACACACAAAAGTCTTAATATTTTTTTCTATACAACAACCATTCCAAACACACTTGTGGGTCCATATTAATTCTCAAAACTAATTAAAACAGCATTTTTTAGACACACTCAACCCCCCCTCCAACTTTACCATACTTGGTGCCTTCCCCCTGGAACCCCTGTTCATAATCCGATGGTACCTTCCAGCACTGTTTGGCAGTCCCGGGTCTAACAGCGGAGCACCCGCGCAGCAGAGAGGAAACAGGTGACAAACAATTCATTGTCTTTGTCTTTAACAATAAAGTCCCTGTGTCTTTATTATAAAATGGATCACATGTACTCTATGGCCCCTAAATATGTCCTGCTTTGACTGACAAACAAATCATTACTCTAACTTCTACTATTACTACTACTACTACTACTACTACTACTACTACAGGTGCCTCAGAGCCGGCCTTTGCCATGTGTGTATGTGTATGATAGTACGTCTTACTTTAAAGGTCAGTGATCGTGAAGGGGATTTCTGTGTGATTGAGTTGCCCTCAAAATTAAAACATTGTGCTGTAATATGCCTTAAAAGTTAGTTTTTGGCTGTGATAGCTTTACTTCTTTAAGAATTCAGGTGGGGACCTAAACCAGGTTCATGCATTCCCGCCCTTTCTTTGCTTCTTTCTAAAAAAAGCTAACACTTCAATTTAACAACATACAACAACATATCTGAGAGCAAGTGCAGAGTTTGAGCACCAGCAGAGCTCAAGCAGGGGCTGCTTGAGTCACAGCATTACAAAATCTGAATGTGAAATCAAGAAGTCAAACTCTCAAACTGAAACACCAGCTCTTGAATAAAGATTAGTGATGGATAAGTAGGAGGTGCAGTGAATTTAATGCTTAGGTTCTTCTCTGAACAGACACCTGCTGTGGCTCAGATAAGAAATGAAGTTGATTTGAATCATAAAACCAAGACAATGTGCTTAGAGATACTAAATAATCTGTAGAGCTGAAGACAGCTACATGTTATCGATGATTTCCTGTGGGTCTGTCATTTCATCCATAGCAACATTGAGGGTAAATAAGGGCAAAATCTGAAGTAAAGTCTGTCGACAGCACTGTTGCAGTGAGACAAGTGAAAGCAGCTGACACACTCACCATATACACAGTAAACTGCTTTGAGCTGTGATGCAGTTTATTTTATTAACTCAGAAAACGCAGACACTTGAGAGGAAGTGGAGGCATCCGTACAAATACGACACATCTTTATGCGTCGGTGTGTTTCTGCTTGTACGTCTGATACAGGGGGTAAACAAGGTCGACTGCAGGGAGAGAGACTTGTTGTAATTCATCTGGAAATTGATCCAGTGGAAATGAAGCTGAGGCCAGATCGTCTGTCCGCAGTGCCGCTGAGCAGTTTCCAGTGCACAGAGGTCGGCGAGAGTTTCCAATAACCAGTATTGATTCAGTCCATTACGGTTATTGAACAGTTTTCGTCATCTGACATAAATATTACCGAGATTTGCGGAAGCTGTTGGATTTTTCTGTCGTGACCTGGAATCCGCAGCACAGACAATGATGTGAGTGCAAATATGAGATAAGTGCGCATGTGGTTGACACAAAAGCTTTTTGTTTCTGTCAACAAATAAATCTGCAGAAACGATTGGGTAGATGAGACGCGTGACATGTGACAGCAGGGCCTGAGCCAGCCAAATATCTTCCAGGCATATTCAGTCAGCCACCTAAACACCTCCCTGTGTCCCCAAGTGTTTCACCGTAACTACACAAAACACTTTCCCCATTTTAATTCGGAACATTCAGAAAATAAACAAAAGAGTTTGATGTATATTTTGGTCATATTTAATCGTATTTAGTGTGTAAACATACACAGTTGTATTGGGGTTAGTGTCTAATCCTGTTCCAAATGTTACTTCTTGGCTCCGTTTTGTTGGCATTAAAACACAATAACATGTTTTGAGGAAAATACATGCAGATTGAAGTCACTGAATCTCTCACAAACACTCTCATACACAAGCATTATCTTAAAAGCAGGCACATTCACTAAGAAGTATGTTGACACAGGCAGACACACACAGAGAAGTGGGAGATTTATCCGGCTCTTGTTGCATCTCCGGCTCCCTCAGAACACGACAGGAGGAGCGGAAAGAGTTGCCGACGCAGTGAACACAACTCTGAGAGTTTTACTGTGAAAGGCCTCAGGGAAGTGCTCTAGGGAGCTTCATCTGAACATATGAAAACAACCAGACTCCATCAGTGCACCATAAAACCAATGTTGCAGGATGAAGATGTTTGGTCTTTGTTCAATTTAATTTGCTCTGCAGCTGCAGCACAGTGGGTGCTGTATTGACAGATTATTGTAAATTGAGAATATTTATATAATTTTCACAGCAGGAAAGTGAAACTGCATAAATCAGTCTGTTCATGCCTGTTAGGAAATTAAATATAGAATTAAGGTTTTACACATACATGCTGCACACACACACACACACTCTCAGCCTTAATGTGGGCTGTGACTTTTAGAAATGTCAGGCACCTCGCCAAACAGACAAAGAATGTCAATCACTCTCCAGCAAGCGAGCAGCCATCCACGCACAATGGAGAACACACAATACACAAGGGAGGCCGGGTGACGATGATGACACAAAAATTAATCCTGCAAAGCTATTACAGCATCTTAACGGAAGCGAAAAAAACGCCGCTATGTAACGCACACTGCCCCCGGCAGGAAGCAGAGAGCGTAATGAGGCTTTCAGTAGTGTCATGATTTCTCCACACTGGTTGATATGTGTCTGTGTGTGTTCAGGCGGCCATGTTTGCTTGTTATTCGCCGGGCAGATGCTTCGTGGTGTTTGTATTTTATAGTGTTGCTGTTAGTGTGAGGAGATCAAACAAGCCAGTAACCAAAGCCACATAAAAAGAAGGGAAACAGGATATCTCCCAGGAGAGAGATGTCTAAACTGGACTTTATAAACTCTGTGCTGATGAAGCAGTCGCTCAGACTTGGTTTTGCCACCACGCTGTGTTTAAAATGCTTCTGAGCCAAAAGGCCCCATCTGGGCGACAGCAGTCGTGGAGGAAGTCGGGGAGACGATGGTGGGCTGTGATGTTAACTATGGAATATCTCCACAGTGTCTGTCTGCCTGTCTGTCTGTCTGTGTTGGTCACTCCACCTCTTTGATCCAGACTGAAATATCTCAGCTGTTACTGAACCGATTAAGTTTGGTTCCGATATTCAAAGTATAATGACTTTGGTAATTCCCTTTACTCCACCTGGAGACTGACATTTAAAGTTTTGAGTGAAATGACAACCACCAGATGCATTATAGATTATGAGGACATTTGCTTCAGAATTGTAATAACAGTTCCTCCAGCTCTTTATTTTATGTCCAAATCTGTGCAAAACTAATGAAGCTCAGTGAAAGTTCAGTCCTAAATACCATCTTCTTGCATATGCCTCCTAAGTCCCATACCGCAGTTTCTTCCATGTCTTCACTCCACCATCTCATTCTGTCTTATATCCAGTCCTGGTCCTGTCAAATTTGAAAAAGTTCCCTCTCCCTCCTGTCATTCAGCTGTCCGTTCAGTAACGCGATTACTAAATGACGCACCTCTGACGCACTTTTCACTAAATTCTCAGACTGATGTCATTCACCTCCATCCCTCGTTCACCTCCAGTGTTTGTCGGAAGCAGATGTCCAGTGAGATCACAAGGGATCCTGCTCCTCATCCCGTCCTCACAGATTCTCATCTACACACGTTCAGCCAGCAGGTTCACCAGCACCAGGGCTCAGACTCCATCAGAGGGGTATTTCTTTGCTGCTGATGTTCCATTTATCCCTGTAATCAATCTCCTGATTGACACAATATTTTTCTACAGCATCTTTCGGCCTTCATCAGAACAGTTTGCTCAAGTTGTCATGGAAATGGATACAAGATCAAGATGACGATATCCAAAAGGCTTTATAGTGCATCCATTTTTTCACAATCCATAAAGGAACATTTATTCCTTCTTTATCTAAAGAATCCAAAATCACAGAAGATTTCAGGGTTACATGCCAGAGCTGACTTCAACACAACTATCCCCATGACAACCAAGAAAACTCCATCTGCTGATGAAAACTGGGAGATAAGAAGCACCTGAAAGAGACAAGTTGTATTTTTATTAGCCAAGCAATCAAATGAGACGCTGCAGGTTAGTGGCATTAAAGCCTGTAAAATGATCTTCATATTAATGTGGGGAAGGAAAGGATTTGTCAGAACTCAAAGAGAAAGGAGCTCCTGACAGACAAAAAAAAGATGAAAAAGTGTGACTAAACAAAAGATCACAGCAGCAGCAGTGGAGGGACTATTAGCAGGCAAAGGATCAGGGAGATTGGGGCAGACAGAGAAAAACAGAAATTCCAAAATCAAAAACCTGGTCTTTTCAGATTTTACAAATGTTTGAGCTCTGGACAGAATGAGACTATTTTTGACAAAGCCGTTTTTGATCTTTGAAGTGTAGCGTTCACACGTCTTACAGTTCAGCTGATGTGTGAGGGCTTTTAATTCAGACTGTATGACAGCTTAACACCCCCAACCCCCAGCAAAACACACACACACACACACACACACACACATATATATATATACACACTCACGCAAAAAAAGAAAAAAATCTTTCACATGGTCAATTAAGCACTGATCTACCTTGGTAGTTAAAATTCAGGTCATGTGTGGAGGAGCAGCTGCCGTGTGTGTGTGTGTGTGTGTGTGTGTGTGTGTGTGTGTGTG